TTAATAGATTTAGCCCTCGTGCTTTTCAAAAAATAAATAAATAAATATATATATATATATATAACCTATTGCTAATGGTAATGAGGTTTGATGATTTTGACGTTGATATAGATATATAGATATATAGATATCTATATCAACGTCAAAAGTTATGCATCAAAAGGTGTATTTTGCTTTTAAAAAGATAATATTAGTGCTATTTTCTATGTGATGTTAAAAGTTTGAGTGTCATAAATGTTAATGTTGAAGTTTAGGTGTTTGATATGTTAATTCATAAGAATTGTGTGTTATGTATGTAATTCCTCCAAAATTTTTATATGAGGAAACACGGAACCACATTGCTAAAGACTACGATTTGGACACTTTTGAATTAAAGAATCCATGGATAGCCGAATCAAACCATATTGTACTCCAAAGTAGTAAACCAAATTGGCCAAGGGAGAATCAAAACATTAGTGTGGCTCATTTTTCGCAGGACCGTCCAACTACATGCTATTATGACCTTAAATTTGCTCGAGCTATTTTTGAAAAATGAGCAATCCCTCTCAAAAGCTTCTTGGCTGACCCACTGGTATTTTTGATCGTGTCAAAATTAATAAATCAAACTGACCCAATGAATTCAAAAATTACATAATACACCATCTCGTTCTCATAGGCATCACTTTCATAATCATGCTATATTAAACAAATTGGAAAACAAAAACCTATGAAACAAAGCAAATTGGCATCAACCTACACGGTTATCATATTCGACGAGTACAATATATAAGCACTCGATCTTAATTAACTTAATAGAAATTTGAGGTGAAATTTGGTGGGTGTTTACATCTATGCCACCATACCTATGAATGAAAAGATGTACTTTACTTTTTAGAAGTTAAAATAGTGAATTTTTTTTTTTTGGTATTAAATATTTGAGTGATATGAATGTAAAAAGTAAAGTCTAGGCATTAGATATGTAAATACATAGGAATTGAGTGGTATGTATGTAAATGCCCCTCAAATTTTATGTACATGATCTTGTTACGCCGGAGCCTAGCCTAAGGGTCTTTTATTAGCCTAAGAGCGATTTATTTTTTATTATTTATTATTGTTTGGTATAAATAGGGCTTAATATTTTATGGTTAGGGAGATGCATGAGATTATTACTTTGAATCTTAGGTTTAGGGGGGAGGGGGGTAACACCTACACTTTAATGTTTACATCTATGCCACATTACCTATGAATGAAAATATGTACTTTACTTTTTAGAAGTTAAAATAGTGAAATTTTTTTTTTTGGTATGAAATATTTGGGTGATATGAATGTAAAAAGTAAAGTCTAGGCATTAGATATGTAAATACATAGGAATTGAGTGGTATGTATGTAAATGCCCCTCAAATTTTATGTACATGATCTTGTTACGCCGGAGCCTAGCCTAAGGGTCTTTTATTAGCCTAAGTGCGATTTATTTTTTATTATTTATTATTGTTTGGTATGAATAGGGCTTAATATTTTATTGTTAGGGAGATGCATGAGATTATTACTCTGAATCTAAGGTTTAGGGTTTGGAATATATTTTCTACCTCTTGAATTGTAGGAAGTTGGAGAGATCGCCAATTTTAGGTGTCTATCTTTTAGTTTAATGTTCGTGACTGCATTGTTAGCTTTGGAGAAATAGAACATTTGTTTTGCCCAAATTTTTGTGGAGAATCTTACCAAACCAGTATGAAAGTTAGAGATTTATGGGAGAACCATTGAGTCACCACCTTCGTAACCTAATTCACAAAATAGTTGTGATTTTGGCGATCTGGGAAGCCAATGACGAGATCGAGGTGCAGCGTACATGGCGTGAGCGATGAAATCGACCTTGCGATATAGTCATCATAAGAGATAATTGGAAAACCTTTGACGGGATTGTGTATCTTGTGATACTGGCGCAATACAAGCTAGCTGGGAAAATGATGACTGTATTGCATTCAAGTGCAATGTTTGATACTGTCACGGGAAGAATTAGTTGAGACACAAATGTGGGGATTGAGCCGTACAAATTTACGTACAGTCACAATTTTTTTCTAGAAAGGAAGCCAAGACGGGATTGTGAAGTCAAATCGCAGTGAAGTTGATAGATTGTGATGTACAGGAGTTTTGCGCCACTTTTGATCAAAACTGGCGATTGAGATCACTACGTAAAGGAGTTCCGCGTCGCTTGTGACGGAAACTCATGATCGGAATTTGCGATCTATAGGAATTTGGATTGCACCTTTTGGAGTTCCATACGGCTTCCAGTAGTTCCACTGAGCCACGTACAAGAATTTCAGGATCGCGAAATCCAGAGTTCCGCGAACACTAATTTGCATTCATAAATTCTTAATCTCTTTATTTCAACATAAAGGAATTTCAAAACTTTTCAGGAATAACAACAGCCAAAAAGGTGGATGCTTTGGAGAAAAAACTAGCTGAAGATGTCAATCAAATCACATATGGAATGGCGGGGAGATTCACAGTCCTCAAAGAAATGAGAAAGGAGATTGTAGCGACTCACAAACCCTCCGTCTCCTGTAGCGGTATCGAGCGATGCGTCTGGAATGAACATGAGTATCAACAATCAAAAGACTTAGCGTCACATCAGCCACATGTAGATCTGGGGCTGCAAAATCGGGTTAAGGATTGGAAACAGAATCGAACGTCAGATATCCAGACGACTGAAACGAAGGCAGCATGCAAAATGATACGACAAGCGATTTGGAGCAGGAAAATATCAATTTGAAGGATTTTGACCAGAAACAGGCTGGTCAGACCCTGACAGAGGGCTGCATCCAACCACACCAGTGTCATTTGTTGCAGCAACCTTCAACGTAGAAGGCAATTCGTGGCTTATGGGGACGGGGGAGCTAATTATTGGGTGCGCTTGACTTGTGGGAGAAGAGAAGTCAATATGAATCAAGAAAGGGAACCCAACCCCCGCCTTATTGGTGGAATGACCTTCGGTTAAGGAAATTGGGAAGGAGTTTCACACATGAGGAAGTTGTAGATACCTTTTTTTGAATGAGATGATGCATATGGTTGGGTTTATCATGTGGAGAGATAATTTGCTATTAATAGGCTGATGGAGGAAGATAATGTTGATGGTGGTGACAACTGTCTTTGGAAGGAAAAGCTCCATAAGGGTATCAGTGAAGAGAACGTCAGTCAATCTGGACATGGGAAGAATTTAAGGTCTGCTTGTGAGAGTGCCTTAGAACCACACGGGAAGGGGATTACACAAACTATTTTTTGCATTAGTCCAGGAATGATCTGTCATGGATTATAGGGAGAAATTTGAGATGTTATCTGATCATTTGAGAGGGATATCAGAAGAAGTGTTAGAAGGCAACTTCATGAAAAGGTTGAAGCTAAAGATTCAAGCATCAGTTCTCATGTTGAGACCTTGAAGATTGGGAGAAACTTTGGAATCAACGTAGTTAATTGAAGATAATAATGTAACAAAATAGACTATTAGGAGCAACATAGGTGGAGCACCATACCGAACTACTACAACCATGATGATATCTGAAGCTCAAACAGTGGAAGTCCAGAGGAGAGAGGATCAACAAGGCAGGAAGAAAAGACTACGACCGAGACAAGACTCTAACAACTTACATTGAGAGATTTGGGAGAAGCGGGCCAAAGGGTTATATTTTTTGTGTGATTAGAAGTTTTTTCTGAAGACACCATTTTAAAGGACCAAACATTACAGATTCTTACTGTATGTGACGAGGACACAAAGGATGCAGAAATAAAGAAGGTCGTGGTGAAGGAGGAACACCCTCACTTAGATTTGGCAAAAATCTTACTAAACTCGATGGTCGGATTAATGCCAAACCGCACTATGAAACTTCAGGGGTAAATCAAAGAGCAGGACGTAGTTGTGTTGATAGATAGTAGGGTCACCCACAACTTCATATTTACTCAAATAGTGAAGCAATTGGGGCTTAATATGGTGGACATTGGAAATTTTAAAGTCATGATGAGGACGGGCCAGTTAGAGAAGAGTAGGGGGGTTTGTAAATGAGTGATTTTAACATTGCTAGACATTTAGATGATTGAAGTTTTTCTTTCCTTGGATTTAGACAGCACTGAAGTGATATTGAGTATGAAATATTTGCAATCTGTATGGGAGACTAAGGTGAACTGGAAACTTTTGGCCATATAGCTTCAGGAGGGAGATAAGACAATAGTACTTTGTGGTGATCCTTGTTTATGCAAAACTCTAGTGTCAGCGGATCTATTGAAGGTTGTAGATAGTTTGTGGAGGAGCCAATACCTAAGGCTTGGAAGGGGTTGAGAATGTTTATGGGACTTACAGGATACTACCAGAAATTCGTGAAGGATTATAATTCGATTGTGTGACCGCAGACGAAGAAATTGAAAAAGTATAACTTTCAGTGTGGGAAATTGACGACCTGCTTTTATAAAGTTGAAGAAGGTTGTCAGGAGTGTGTCAATGTTGACGGCGAAAACCAGACTCAAGTCAGTTTATGAGTCGGAGCCACATGACTTGATCCAACTGCAGCTTTTCCCACCTTGAAAACAATGTATCTTTTTGGGAGGGCAGTATTTTTACATCAGTGCCTAGCCTAAGGACAAATTTGTCTTTTCTTATTAATCATTCTTTGGTATAAATAGAGCTTAATAATTTAGGTTTAGGGGGATGCATGAGATTATTATTGTGAGTCTTAGGGTTAGGTTTTGGGAGATATTTCTTACCTCTCGAATTGTATAAATTGGGAGAGATCATCTATCTCTCAAATTACAGGTGTTTATCCTTTATTTTATTTGTTCCTGGTTTTATTGTTTTCGCTTTGGAGAAATAAATTTATTATTTTGCTCTAATTTCTATGTATAATTCTATCACATCTCCAAATGGATTAGAATAGAAGTTAGCATTTTGAATCAGCTACCATATTATTTCTATTTTTAGAATTTTAATGATCCCGTTTATATATTTAATTAATCATTTTTTCTTAAACCGAACCCAGCCGGAAGAGATTCAGTGAGAAACAAGCAGAGCAATGGTGGGCAGAAAACAGAGCCAGGATTTACGAACAATACAATGTGAGGATGGCTGACAGATCCAGCACTGCAAGCTGCACCGGCACTGATGCAGCTCACTGAACACCTCCACTCCTTAAATCATTCATTCCTTCCCCAATCTAAAAATGGTAAGAAAAGAAGAATTAAAATCATGGCACTGCCAAATTTCTCACTGATCAAGTTAGCTGTATATGTGGCTAATATTTTATTTTAGCCCTTTAAAAAAAAAGGAAAAAAAGGGCTATTATAAAATGGGGTTATGAGTTGGTTTTTCATTATTTTCTTTTTTTTTAATTATTATTATTATTATTATTATTATTATTTTCTGGTGTGGCGAGTAGAGTTGGTTGGTGTTGAGGAATGTATAGTGGCTAGTGTTGGAATTCTTGTAATTAGAAGTAATCATCATCTTGGAGAGATGTAGCAGCCTCTAACCATTTTTATCCATGATCTTAAGGTTTTATTTCCCTCCCATTAAAAAAAAAAATTGCTTGATATTCTTTATGATTTATGAGTGTTAGCAGTTGATTTTCTGTGCAAGGTTTGTTTTTCTATATCTATCTCCTTTATGTATTAAAATGTGCATTTCATTTTTTTTAAGTTAAAATAGTGATATTTTAGATGTGAGATGAAAGGTTTGGATGGTATAAATATAAAGAAAGGTAAAGATTAGGCGTTAGATATGTAAATACATGAGAATCAGGTGGTGTGCAGCAATGTAAATGTAAGTGTCCTAAAAGAGGGATTTTTATGGTGAAAAAGTAATAAAATCATGAAATTTATGGAGAAGTTATATTGGAGATGAAATCTGGATGAGACGATTGTATCTATAGATGATTGAGTGGATGTTATATGCATTAGTATTTATTGATATTCTTATATTCATGGCTTATTTATTTTTCATTTTTTTTGAAATTGTTTGATGCTGTTGTATACTTGCTATGATGAAATTTTATTTTGAGCATGCGTGCATTATAGCGAGTCAGGCTCGATAGGCGAGTGACTTTGTGTTGGTTGCGATGTCTTAACGAGTATTGCTTGTCGGGTCGATCCGTGGAAGCAATGTGAGTTATCACATCGGGATCAACATGAGTTTGACTGTGTTGATGATCTAAGATATCTAACTCGTGTCGCCTTATATGTTACAGGTCTGTGTTTAATAGCCTCTATTTTAAAACTAAAAAAATGTATTTTTCTATTTATTACATTTGCTATGTCTTTGAAATTTGTAGCAAATTAAGTCATATGTAAAGTAAACTATTTTTCAAAATTAATCATGACACCCTTTACATCTCTTGGATTTTAAGGAATGGTCTTTTGTGACGATCCCATTAAAGTCATATGTACCTAGAAACTTTATTCTATGCACGTAGATGTTGGTTAAAACACATTCTGGTTAAATTGTGTGATAGACTAAGATTTTGGATGCTATGAAGTTTTTTTGGCATCTCTGTTTATTTTTCTCTGCTGATTTGCTTGTGATAGTCAAGCCTCATCTTTGTGTTTTATGGTGTATTCGCATGTTCTTTTGTATGAAGATGTCTATGTGATGATTTCTATTAAGCTTTTGCTTGTAGGTGTCATTTAGCTCCCTCGATAAAAATGAACGACTAATTATACGTTGCATATTTGTTTACTTTCTCGCTAACGTTATTTTCATGCAGGTCGTCTTTATTTTCTTTTTTTCATCTCTACTTTTAGTCCTAGGAGATTATTGTATTATAAAAAATGTAGGGCACGAGTTTCGAGGCACCAGACAAACAGAACCATGTGAGAGGGACTAGGGTCGACGGACTCGTGTACTGTACCTTAATTTTAAATTACATTTATGTACACAATTAAGATCTGGCATGTATAGGTAGAGTTTGATTGTTTTTTTTTTTTTTTTTTGATATGTGTTGACCTAGCGATACCGGTCTTTTTATTATTTCAGTTGGCTTATTCTACCGCTTTTCCTGCATGATTACATGCATGAATTGTTTCTCATGTTTCTTTTTGTTTGTATCAGGGATACTACAAAAATTATACTCTAGGCTCATTAAGGACCTTAAAATTATAAATTTGGTATTCAAAATTTAAATAAAAATTTCAAAATAAATTCAAAATTTAGGATTAAAAGATTCTAGATTTTTCAAAACCTGTTTTTCACTTTCTTGCATGACCTTCGAGCCAATTTTAAAATGGGTTGCATATTATGGGTATAAACAAGTCATATAATAGGGCCTTTATAATATTTAAAGATCGCTCTAGATAACTGCATCATTTGCATGTTTCAAAGAGAAGCTCCTGTATTTTTCCATCCTGACTTGTCTAACATAAATTTCTACTTAGGTGATTGTCTAGTGCGCTTAGGTCGCTAGAATGCTACTCGGCCAAGATGGGGAGTAAGTCCTTATTGGGAGCATTTTCAGCTTTGTAGTTGAATCTCTCCTATCTCCTCTTTTCAACTGCATTCTCACTACTTTGGCATGTATAAGTCTCACCTCTTGGAGCTCTACCTAATAGTCATATGATAGAGTTTTGTTCATTTGACCATAGTGCTACCGATGCCCCCGTGGATGACACAATTCACAGATTATTGACCAGGGTTATTTAGCCGTGTTGAGTCGACTACCTTCATGATCAGATAAACTTAGGGTCATGACATGTACATGGTACCCTAACATCTAGGAATTCCTCCTCCCTTCCTTTGATTACCCCTAGAGAGCAATATCGCTCCTTTTTGCCTTCGTTTGTATCATCTCGACAGCCTGATTGCTGATGAGCTGGCGCTCGTTTAGGATATGACAATTTGTCATTAGCTCTTTATGCCTGAATGTGCTTTGACATATCGGGATTTCCCGTCGGGATGATTCGGTTATTTCACGGGCTCCGTATGCTGATGCGTCTATTACCCATGTGAGGACCGTGAGAGAATGACTCTTCGCTTCGTATCTTAGCGGGGGTTTTGAAAGCATCGGAGCATTCACTTGTGAGATAAATATCCTTTTATAACTTTGCGCTAGTTATCACTTCTAATGTAAGCAAAACTACCTAGATCAAGAGTATTCTTGGGCAAACCCATGATATAATTAACCAAATGTGATGCGTCCCCTTGAGAGTATTTTAGACCACAAAACAGACAAACACACCTGAATATATGGTTGGGGGGTAGTTTATATAGGTATTCTTTTGTGAATATTGGTCAAAGGTGCTTCCGTTCGATCTTGTTTGGGCGGACATACTTAACCTATCATTGCGAGATTTATGACTCGCAAGCTCTCCACGTTCTTTCTCTTGTTTCCATGTTTTTGTCATATGTCCTGCTTGTTTGGTTCCTCTATTCTCTTGATCATTCACATGATCCGGAAGAGTGACTTATTTGGATCATAACAAATGCAAAATAGTGATCATTGGCGTATGGTGGTTTACAACGATAAGGGGTGACGATTGACGGTATTTGACGATAGTCAACAGTTGGGAAGGTCGGTGGTTATTGCTCGATCTTCTATCACAAAGTTCATAGTTGGTTTCTATAAAGACAATAATTGGTCATAAATAATGTGGATAGTGGTTTTTAATTACAAAAATTAGTCATACAAGCCATAGTTGGAAACTATAATAATAGTAGTTGGTCCAAAGACTATAATTTGTTGCTACAATGGATGTAATTGGTTGCTACAAAGTTAGCGGTTGGCTATGAAGGTTGTAGTCGGTGGTTACAACAATGATAATTGGCCAAAAAGTTCGTAGTTGAAAGTTATAACAGTAGTAGTTAGCCACAAAGGTTGTAGTTGGTTGCTACAAAGGTAGAAATTGGCCATAAAAATTGTATTCGAAGACTAGGATAGTGGTAGTTAACTACATATGCCATAATTAGAAACTTTAATAGTAATAGTTGGTCATAAAAGCATTAATTGGTTCTATAAAAGCAGTAGTTGGCCATAAAGGCTGTAGTTGGACTATAACAACTGCAAGTTGGGGTCGCTGGAGGTAGGTGGTCACCAACGACAAGTGAGGACGGCTGACAGTGCTCACTGGGGGCTAATAGGTGGTAGTTAATCATGGTCGGTAGCTACAGAGGCTTGTGGTCATTTGTTAGATGCAACAGTCATATTCAAATTATAACAATTGCAAAACAGAGGTCCTTGATGTCCGATGGTCGACAACGACAAGCAGTGATGACTGACGGTATTTAACGGTAGTCAGCAGTTGAGAAGGCCGGTGGTTATTGCGGGTCTTCTATCCAAATCATGCTATGAACTCATTATCTTTTTCTTCTTCTAATAGGTTGCTACAATGGATGTAATTGGTTGCTACAAACTCAGTGGTTGGTTATGAAGGTTGTAGTCAGTGGCTACAACAATAATAGTTGGCCAAAGTGGTTGTAGTTGAAAGTTGTAACAACAGTAGTTAGCCACGAAGGTTATAGTTGGTTGTTACAAAGGTAACAGTTGGCCATAACAATTGTGTTTGATGGCTGGAGTAGTGGTAGTTAACTACATAGGCTATAATTGAAAACTTTAACAGTTGTAGTTGATCATAAAGGCAATAATTGGTTCTATAAAGGCAGTAGTTGGTCACAAAGACTATAGTTGAACTATAATAGCTGTAAGTAGGGGTCACTCGAGGTCGGTGAGTGGGGATGGCTGACGGTGCTCGTCGGTGGTCTACAGGTGGTGGTGAATGATGATCGGCAGCTACAGAGGCTGGTGGTTATTTTTTTGGGTCTTTAATACATAGGTTAGATGCAACAACTATATTTGAATTATAACAATTGCAGAACAGTGGTCGTCAAGGCCCGATGGTCAACAACGGCAAGCGATAATGACTGACAGTGTTTGATGGTAGTTAGCGGTTGGGAAGATCGACGGTTATTCATAGGTCTTCCATCCATAACATAATATGGAATTCATCATCATCTTCTTCTTCTAATTGACCCGGTGACACCGTCTTTTTATTATTTCAGTTGGCTTATTCTACTGTTTTTCCTGCATGATTACATGCATGATTTGTTTCTCCTGTTTCTTTTTGTTTGTATCAGGGATACTACAAAAATTATACTCTAGGCTCATTAAGGACCTTAAAATTATAAATTTGGTACTCAAAATTCAAATAAAAATTTCAAAATAAATTAAAGTTTAGGATTAAAATATTCTAGATTTTTTAAAACTTGTTTTTCACTTTCTTGCATGACCTTCGGGCCAGTTTTAAAATGGGTTGCATATTATGGGGATAATGCAAGTCATATAATAGGGCATTGATAATATTTAAGAATCGCTCTAGATAACTGCATCATTTACATGTTTCAAAGAGAAGCTCCTGTGTTTTTCCAACCTGACTTGTGTAACATAAATTTCTAATTAGGTGGTTATCTAATGCGCTTAGGTTGTTAGAAGGCTACTCGGCCAAGATGGGGAGTAAGTCCTTTTTGTTGGAAGCATTTTCAGCTTTGTTGTTGAATCTCTCCTATCTCCCCTTTTCAATTGCAGCCTCGCCACATTAGCATGTATAAGTCCCACCTTTTGGAGCTCCACCTAATAATCATATGATAGAGTTTTGTTCATTTGACCATAGCG